CTATTGCTTGGGGTCTGTAAATCAAGATCCAGTGTCTCTGTTTAAAATACACACATTAGCTCCACTGCCGGTTATGGGCCTGATGGGTGATTATTTTTTTTAATTTTAGAACAAAAAATAAATTTTTGTGGATTTTTTACCATTTTTTTTGCAGTTTTCAATTTGTTCACTGTTTTATTTTTGTTTTGATTTTCCCCCTAGAAAATGTGCTTTGATTTTTTTAATGGGAAAAATAGTTTTTCCCCACCTGCAAAAGTGATTTTTTTTTCAGTGGCTTTCAGCAAATTTTACAGTTCAAGGCAGCTCTTGGCAGAAAAAATTTACTTTTTTTAATAATTGTTTTTTGGCCAAAATATGTACATTTTTCTGCCAAAAACTATTTGGGAGGTTTAATGTAATGGTTTTTGGCAGAACACATTTTATGTGTGTTGGTGGTTTTCATAGAAATTTTGATTTTTTTCCCCCTTTTTTGACAATTTTTTCCCATTGTTCATGGTGGTGGTGTAGCCATGTTGGTCCCAAAATATTAAAGAGACAAGGTGGGTGAGGTCATCTCTTTTATTGGACCAACCTCTGATGGTGAAAGAGACAAGCTTTCAGCTCTGTGTAAGCTGGAAGCTTCTCTCTCTCACCAACAGAGGTTGGTCCGATAAAAGAGATGACCTCACCCACCTTCTTTCTCTCAAATTTTCCATTGACATTTTTGACAAAACAATGCTTTGGTTTTGTCTTCATTTAAACTTTCCCCGGCGGGGGGCAAGGGCGTGAATCAATTTCCAATGACCTCTGATGGCGTCTTTTCGCCTTGCTGAGTTCTACACCAACGCCTTCTAGCAAAACCCACCTAGCTGCTCTGGCTGTCACAGGGTGGAGAGAAGCTGTGTGGGGTGGGGCATGGGAAGTGGAGCGTATAATTAGAACAACACTGGGGCTGCTCTCATTCTGTTCTATGTAGAGTCATCACCATGGTATCTGGGCACCTTCCAGTGGTCCACTGAGCAACAAGACGCCACATCTCTCATCTAGGGTTTCTTCTCCCCTCCTCTCCCAGGGGGAGAAGCACGAGCAGTGGAATGTCTTGTTTTGGTAGGTTTTTGAATATAGCTGTTGCTCTGGTATTTGTATTAGCGAAGGCAGGGCAAGGAGATGCACCTTGCACTTGGAGCATAAGGTGGCAAGGTTTGGGATGGGCCTTAGCTCCTTGGGGAGCTCATTCTGCAGCCCCCAGAAAGATCTGTCTCCCCACACAGATGAGCTTTACCCTTATTGTAGAGTGCCACTGGGCCAGAGGCGCGGAGTGGGGGTCTCCATCCTGCAATTATAGGCAGCCTTCTTTTGGTACCTTGGGTGCAAGTCATGGAGCCTGCAGGACCCAGACCTTGAACTTGATTCAGCATTGTATGGGAAGCCAGTGCAGAGAGCACAGGACAGGGCTGATGCGTTAACAGTAGCTGGCACTGCTGAGCAGATATGACTACATCAGCTAGAGTTTCCTAAGGGCTGAATGTATCACACCCAGGTCACTGCAGTGCTGTGGTCGAGCTAAGCAATGCCCAGAGCTGATTAACAGGCCAGGTCATGGTTGGCCAGGCTGGGGCAGCATCTCTGAGCCAGCTGGAGATGGTAGAAAGCATTAGTCACGGAGTGGGCGCTGGTTCGGGGCAGGACCTGACTCTGATGGGTGCCGGGTAATTTAAAAACACCTGGGGGTTGAACGATAAACCAGACCAGCAGCCATGTAGCTTTGCTTTCTCTGCCTGTGATCAGCAGAGTTCAAGACAGCTGCATCTTTGAGTCCCCCATTAATTTGTGTTTCACTAAAGCATTTTCCAGAATCTGGATCTGATGGAGAATCCACCCCTGTCCTTGGCAGGTTGTTCCAATTGTTAATCACCCTCCCTTTGAAAAATGTGTCCTGTATTTGAATGTGTCTGCCTTTCACTTCCAGCCTTTGGTTCTTAGTCTGCTTTTCTCCACTAGGTTAAAGAGCCCTTTAGGACCCGGGATTTTCTCTGCGGGAAGGTGCTTACATACCATGATCAACTCACTGCTTAATCTTCTTCGTGATTAAACTAAACAGATCGAGCTCCTTAAGTCTCTCGCTGTCAGGTCTTTTTTTTCACCCATCTTAGTGGCTCTTTTCTGCCCCCTCTCCAATTTAACCAACATCCTTCCTAAAACGTGGACCCCAGAACTGGACACACTATTCCAGTACTAGTCTCACCAAGTCCATCACCTCCTGCTCCTGCTTGCTACACCCCTCTTTATGCCCTCTGAGGCCCCCTGCTGGAGGCCTCCTGGCCCTACCACATCCTGCCCCAAAACAGAGCAATGGAAAGGGTCCTCCAAGCTGCCTAGAGTGACTGTGTGGGACACAGCCAATCAGGGCCTACCAGTCTATTATAAGAAGAGCTGCAGGGCCAGAGGGAATTCAGTTCCTTGCTGGAGCTGTAGGAGTGTGTGTGGCTGGCAGTATTGCAGAACCCCAGACAGGGCACCACTGCCAGTACCTGGAGAGAGCAAGAAAGTGCCCTGAGCTGATTACCAGGTCTCCATTAGGACAAGGCCCTGAGGTAAAGATGAAGATGCTGTGGGGAAGTGGCCCAGGGAATTAGAGAAGCCATATGTCATAGTTAAAGGGACACCGCAGACAGCTGTGATCTACAGGGTCCCTGGGCTGGGACCCAGAGTAGTGGGCAGGCCTGGCTTTCCCCACCCTGTTAGCCACTGTGGGGAAATGGCCTGGACATTGAGGTACCCCAGAAGGGGAACTGAACTATAGTGGCCCAACTGGAGAGCTGTAGCCAGGAAGCCCAAGAGGGCGAAGACATTATCCCTGCTCTAGGATAGAGCAGTGCCCCAGGGCTTCCTCCCTGGAGACAATCTGAGTGTGTGTGTGCAGGTGTGCACACTTGGCCAAGGGGGTGCTCACGAGAAGCACCCTGTTACAGCATCCCAGGACTGGATCAGCCTGTGATGGGGTATCCACCTCACACTGGCCAGTAAGGGGTTAATAAAGCCCTAGGAAGGCTGAGTGAAAAGCAGCCAATAGGAGAGGGGCTGTGAGGAGTGGCCACTCAGGGCTCACATAAGAAGAGTTGCAAGATGGACAGAGGAGAGCAGGGTGCGTAGCTGCCTGGAGCTGGAGGACGAGGAAGGTTTGTATCTGGAATAGGCTGCAATGCTGTAGCACCTTGGACAGAGCAGTGCAGGCAGGACCCCAGGGAGAGGGGAAGGAGCTCCGGATGAGCTGCTGAGACTGAGGAGGTTGCTGTGGCCCCAGTGAAGTGGCCCAGGGAAATGCAGCGATCATAGAGGTAAATGAACGCAGTAAGTGACTGTGAATCAGAGGGTCCCTGGGCTCAGACCTGGAGTAGTGGGTGGGCCTGGGTCTCCCCACTGTGGAAGTAGGACAGTTTACTGCAGTCACCACTGAGGAAGTGACTGGACTACTGAGGAGCTAAACCTCCCCCAGAAGGGGGGACATGGACAGTGCCATGGGGGGGGGGCGAGCCACAAAGAGGATGCTGCCGTCCCTGAGGCAGCGAGAGGGGCTGCAGGCAGATGGCGGAGATCAAGTGACAGTGTGCAGACTGTCGACCTTGAGTTTCTCCCCAGAGCAACCTAGGGGAGGCACCAGTCTGGTGCTGAGTAACACACAGTGACGCAGCCCTTTGGGCCACTATGTTGCACTGGCAGCTCATATTGAATTGCTTGTCCACTGTGACCCTCATATCCTTTAGAGTCACTGCTTTCAAGGATAAAACCTTCAAAATGGAAGCCTGTGTTTGCCTGGCATGGAAAACAGACCCATCTTGTTATCAGTGCTCTTTCACTTAGTGAAAGGGTTTCCCATGGCATCTTTGGCTGTAACTTTTCTTCCTGTTCAGCTGCACCCCAAAAGTGGCTGCATATCCGTGGGGCTTTCTATATAGACATTGTGTCGCAGTTATGGGGGAAAGACCTTGCACTATATCGGGGTCAGCAACCTTTCAGAAGTGGTGTGCCGAATCTTCATTTATTCACTCTAATTTAAGGTTTTGCAGGCTGGTAATACATTTTAACGTTTTTAGAAGGTCTCTTTCTATAAGTCTATAATACAATAATAGCTTAGTTATATGTAAAGTAAATAAGGATTTTAAAATGTTTAAGAAGCTTCATTTAAAATTAAATTAAAATGCAGAGCCCCCCGGACCGGTGGCCAGGACCGGGCAGTGTGAGTGCCACTGAAAATCAGCTCGTGTGCCGCCTTCGGCACGCGTGCCATAGGTTGCCTACCCCTGCACTATATCTAAGGATAGGTGGTATGAAGGCAGAGAAGTAGGAGTCAGAACTCCTGGGTTCTTTTCCTAACTCTGGGAGAAGAGGGTGGTGTAAGGGGTTAGATTGGGGGAGCAGGAGGGCTGGGAGTCAGGACTTGTAGGTTCTACTCCCAGGGGCTCCAGGAGGGGAGCTGGGTCTGGTGGATTGATGTTGGGGGAGAGGGGAGCTGGGAGTCAGGACTTCTGGGTCCTATTCCTAGTTTGGCTGTATTATGCATAAAATATTTGACTCTAGTTAACCTCCTCCTGGACAATCTAATTAATGAGTCCACACCAGCCAGCAATGGGTTGCAAAGGACCCATGCGTGGGAAAACAAGATACAGCATGATATTATTTTGCACTGAGGCATCTATTCATCTTGGAGTAGAGATGGCTTCCCAGAGGAACAGTGGCTTTGCAGATCACACACACCTGCCCAAGGCTGTGTTAGCTACAGGAAAGATGTACAAGCCCAAACTATCAGCCATCTTGTCCTGGGTCTGATTACACCCACCAGCACTTACAGTGAACATCCTGGGGGCTTGGATGTGTACCAATGAAGCATTGCTAACCCCAGGACTGGGATAGCTGCGCTCTCTCATCTCACATGTATCCAAGGCCAGGAGAAGCATATTCCTTTGCACAGTGATGTCTCCAATCTCTGCAAGCCCACTATGTATTCACCACCAGTCTGGGTATTGCTTTAATATACCAGGCCTTTAATCTCGCTCGCCACCGCTTCGGTTCTGACCTCATTTCTAAGAGCAGCTCTGCAGGATTGACAGAACCTGTGAGGCAGGCTTTCAAACAAGATCACAATGAATTTCAAGCATTGTAACTGGGTGCTACACAGACTTCCCCCTCCCCCCTTGACTGACAGGGTAGGGAGGAAGCATCATGCCAGGTGCTGCACAGACCTGGACCAAACTTGGGGACCTTCGTGCTGGGCCCTGCACAGACCATGACCGAGATCAGGACCGCAGTGGGTCGTGCACTGCCCAGCTGATCCCTGCCACAAAGATCTTCCAGTCTAAGTGGACAAAGGAATAATTATCCCCATTTTACAGGTGTGCAAGTGGAGGCAGAGGGAGATGAACGTTCGAGTAGAAGGCAGGGACTGAGAGTCAGAACTTGTGAGTTCTATTCCTGGCTATAGGAGCACAGTGAAGTCGAATGGGTTAGAACAGGGGGTGCTGGGCTTCAGCACCCCTGGATTGTATTCCTGGTGCTGAGCACAGTGGTGGGGTTTCGTGTGTTAAAGCAGGGGGGGCTGGGAGTCAGGATTCCTGAGTGCCATCCCTGGCTCAAGGAGCAGAGTGAGCTCTTATGGATAGAGACGGGGAGCAGGAGCCAGAACTCCTGGGCTCTATTCCAGACTCACTCTGTGAACTTCGGGGCATGTCCCTTTCCCGCTCTGCACCTTGGTCCCCAGCCTTTTTTGGCTCCAGCCATGAATTCCAACAGAGTTAGGAAGGGAGTGTCCAATCCTGGCCTGGCTTTCCCTCCATAGCAGTGCAGCGAACTGTATCATTCAGGGAGGAGCAGAGGATGCTGATTTCCCCCAAGGGAGCCTGCGCTCCGGCACCTTCACCGCAGCAGCAAAGGAATCCGTCAGCACGTTGTCGGCTTGCGTTTCCTGAGACATCCCCTCAGGAGGATAGGAGCAGCCAGAGGCGCCACAGAGAGCTGGCAAGGACACGGGGCCTGCCTCTCAGATCCGTCCCCTGCCTCCCCCCATGGCAGGTAAATGACCGGGGCTGTTCCATCACATCTATGGCAAAGACCCAGCACCCCAGGTGTTGTGGCAAAGAGCTTGTATTGGGGATCTGCCAACTGCTGGGTGGAGAGTGGTGTCTAGTGGGTTACAGCTAAAAATCCCAGAGCCAGGAGTCAGGTCTCCTGGGTTCTCTGTCAGCTCTGGCAGGGGAGAGGGGTGTGGTGTGTTAGAGCAGGGGAGGCAGGACTCCTGGGTTCAATTCCTGACTCGGGGGATATTGTCTAATAGGTTTAGCGCGCCTCCACTGGTCTCTGCACATTGCAGCCTGCTCCAGGGTGGCAGTGGCAGGGTCTCTGTGCCCATCCAACTGGACTGGGCCAACAGCAGAGAGTTTGCTGACTGATGAGAATTAAGTAGATTTTCAGTTGCTATGGAAAAGCTATAGATGGGTAAGGAGAAATCCTCCTACTCCCAGAAGTCCTTCCCCCACACTGCTCTGCATATGGCCCCTCCTCCCCTGACATGCACCACTAGGCCCCACTCCCCTCCCAGAGCTGGGAAAAGAACCCAGCAGTCCTAACTCCCACCCGCTCTAATCCTAGATCTGGCATAGAACCCATGAGGCCTAACTCGTGGCTCAGTCATGCTGCTAAAAAGCACAATTTCCTGTCTCCTACCCACCCCTGCCCTACTCCTGTTTTCTTATTCCCTCTTTCATCCCCAGCTCCCAAGTCACTACTCCTCCCCCTCATCACTGACCGGCAGTTCCTCTCCCCGAGGAGCTAAGATGCATGGAAATGGGAAGAACCAACATCACTCAGGACATTTAAATCTAGGATGCAGCCTAACCTTGGGGAATAGATTGTAGGAGGGGTGATCCTGCCTTCCTCTCACAGTTGGTGCTGACCTCCATGCCCCAGCACAACGCTAGGGGGCGCTCTGTTGCAGGGAGCTGGGCAGGGGGCTCAGTTGGAGGTGCTCTCCAATGGCCATCAGAGCTGGCCCTCAGTGCGGTGATGGGGGGAGGGGGGGGAAGGGGGCCTGATGCTGCAGGGAGCAGGGTGGGGCTCAGCAGATGAGTTTCAGGATGGTCTCATAGCTCAAGAAGGTCACCGCGTTGACAGGGAAGGCACGGATACAGTTCAGGGCAAGGCCCTTTAGGAAGACCTGGGGTCCCTCATTCCGAACGCTGATGCGGATGCAATCCAAGACCCCGTGGTAGGATACTCCCTTCACCCCGTCCATCTGGAGCCGGGCCTTGATCACGTCCATGGGCGTGGCTAAGATCCATGAGGCGGTGCCAGCACAGCCCCCGGCTACGAGAACCGTCATCGGCCCTGGGAGCAAAAGGGAGAGGGAAGAGAGTTAGGGTTCGGCTGCAGGGGCCGTTACCCCTCAGTCAATGCCATCCCCAGGGCAGTGGTTGGGGTTATGGTTATTGTATGGTTGTTAAACACCTGTCTGTTTCCACCCAAGAGGTGGCTGCATTATAGCACCCTGTGAAAAGATCTGTCTTAATTGTCTCTGGCCCATCAAAGCACTCACATTACGCAATAGGAATCCCAGTTCCCTACCGTCTCTTCCCCAGCAAGGTGGATTGTAGGGGGCTATCCATTTCCATCTCACCTGGTTCTTGCCCCTGCACTGTCATGGCCTGGCAGAGGCTGGTGTAGGTGAGGAAGTAGATGGCCATAGTGGGTGTATCTCGCAGCACCAGGGCCCAGGTGCCCCGGAACAGGCCCATGACCCCCTCCTTGCGGAATATGCTGGCAGCGCAGTGCACTGGGCCCCGGTACTGGGTTCCAGAGGCCCCTGCTGGACTCCTCAGCCCATAGGAGTGAAGCTGGTTCTGTAGCCGAACTTTGATCAGGTCAATAGGAGCCAGGACCACGGCCTGAGATTGGGGCGGAGTGGGTAGGGGGAAAAAAAGAGTCCCCTCATGAGTTCCTTAAGGAAAAATACTGACATGCAATGACTCCTGGGGCTGGAGAGAGAACCCCACGTGTCCCAGCTCCCATCCCCGCTTACTCTAACCCACTTCGACCCCACTCCCCTTCCCTGAGCTAGGATAGAACCCAGGTGTCCTAGCTCCTAGCCCCGCTTACTCTAACCCACTTCGACCCCACTCCCCTTCCCTGAGCTAGGATAGAACCCAGGTGTCCCAGCTCCCATCCCCGCTTACTCTAACCCACTTCGACCCCACTCCCCTTCCCTGAGCTAGGATAGAACCCAGGTGTCCTAGCTCCCAGCCCCGCTTGCTTTAACCCACTTCCCTTCCCTGAGCTGGGATAGAACTCAGGAGTCTTGACTCCCAGCCGTCCTGCTCTAAGCACTGGACCCGACTCCCTTCCCCTCCCAGAGGTAGGGCTAGAAGCCAGGAGTTCTGCTCTCTACCTCTGCCCTCCACATGAGCTGCCTGGTCCCTCACCTGCATCAGGCCAGAGAAGCTGCCAGCGGTCAAGACGTGGACATAGCTGGGGGGCTTGGCGCGGCGGTCGTGGTGGTGGGTAGCGCTCAGGTACAGCAGGGTATTGCTGTAGGCCCCGAACAGCACTGAGTTAACCAGGGCCACGCTCAGCAGTGGGAAACTCATCCCCTTAAAGAAGCCTAGGACCTGCAAGGCAAAGGGCACCATGGGGGATCAACGCCAGCCCTGGGCATATGTGACTCATGGCTCGGCGTGAGGGAGTGATTGGGGAACCCCTCTCCAAAGGCTGACACCCATGCATACACGCACACACTGCTCCCCCTAGCATACAGCATGGGGGCTGGGCTGATCTCCATCAGGGGCAGATGTGCAGACCCCAGCATGAGGGGAGCCTCTGAGCTTGGGCAGGGGTCTCTTGGCACTGCCCTAATACAAATAAATGTGCTGCCTCAAACCGTTTCATTGCGGTATGTTTTGATCATGCAATCCAGGATCCCCCGATAGCCAGACTGCGTCTGCAGCCGCACCTGGAATGAGACACCATCTTTAAGCAAAGAATTTGCAGGGAGATATTAGCAGCAGCAGTTTATGCAAAGGCCAAACTCCTCCTCAGAGGCATTTGGAAGTAGCATTTTCTAGCAGATTGGACTGTGGCCTGGGACTTAGGACTCCTGGCTTCTATTCACAGCTCTGGCAAGAGAGTGGGATCTAGGGAGTTAAAGCTGGGGGTGGGGTGCTGGGAGTCAGGACTCCAGGGTTCTATTCCTGGTTCTGCTATTGAGCTGGGGCAAGTCCCTCTCTGTGCCTCTATCTCCCCTCCCACCTTGTCTATTCAGACTGTGGACTCTTGGGGCGAGGGATTCTCTCTCACTGTGGGTCTGTGCAGTGCCTCTCCTGATGGGTAGAGGGCCCTGATCTCATTGGGGGGTCTGTGTAGTGCCTGGCCTGACAGGGTGGCCTGAACTTGGGCAGGGAGGGTCTGTGCAGACAAAGACCCCTATGTAGGTTAGGTCTACCATCATAAGAAATAAAGGAGTTAAAATAGCTATTGCTTGCCCTTCGAGGTGCTGGACACTGCTCTGAGCTAGCCAGTTCCCCAGCAGGGATGTATCTCCTCATTCTATCTATAGGAGAGAAGTTTTGCCTGTCCCTTCCCACCCCCAATCCCTCTACAGCAGTACCAGCTTCATATTCACCTTCACTGTGTCCACTGGGTACCCCAAGGCCAGCCCCACAGCTCCTGTGTCCAAAGGAAAAACAAGTCAGTTGGAAATTAGACCCCGCTGCTGTCCTGGTTAGGCGAATGGAACCCAGGAGTCCTGACTCCCAGGCCTGCTGCTGTAACTCACTAGGCCCACCCCTCCGAGGGCTAGGAATAGGACCCAGGAGTCCTACCCTCCTCCACACATCCATAAACACCCCACCGCCACTTCCTCTTTTTCTTGGGGATCCCAATGCTGCCGGCAAACGTTAAAATGGTTGAAAAGGACAGAGACCCCCAGTGCGAGACAGGGCTTGATTATTTTTAACTCACTTGTTAATGAGCAACTGGGAAGTGTCACATCTTTTTCAGAAAAAAAAACTGAATTTGGAACTTAAATTCCACTCTTTTTAAAATGCAACTAAATTGGGGAGGGAGGCCAGCCTTGTCATGGTGCAGCTAGACTGGGATTCAGGGAACGTGGCTTCATTCCCTGCTCCGCTACTGCCTCCCTGGGTGACTTCCCTGCTCTCTGCCTCATTTTCCCCCTCTATAAAGGGGACAGAATAATCTTTCATTTGTCTATTAATTTAGATTATAAATTCTTTGGGGGCAAAAACTCTCTCATTGTGTTTGTGCAGTGCCCGGCCCAATGGGGGCCCCAGTCTCAGTTGGCAGGGTCTGTGCCGCACTTAGCCTGGGGGAGGGGGTTCTCAATCTCATCTGGGGTCTGGGCAGCCCCTGACTCTGAATGGCAGGGGCATGTGTCTGGGCAGCACCCAGAAGGGTATGGATCCTTCTCATTCTTACCTGAAATCCAGCCAGCCACAAACTCCTCCACGGGCATGGTGAGTAGAGCACGCAGGGACTGTACAGGGCTCTGGAAAAGAGGAAAGATCTGGTCAAAGTTAATCCATTTAATCCCTAACTTGTTCTCCTGGGTGCTTCAATCTTTAACCTGATTCTCCCCTGCTCTATGAATTGCCCTTTTCCCAACAGCAGTGTCCAGGGGCACACAGTGAAATGGAAAAGCAGGAGATTAAGCAGGGGTGACCATGCAGAGTTAGCGTAACCGGAGGAACTCAACTGGTGCCGTCTCTCACTGAGATTAAGGGCTGGATCCACCAGCTGGTCTGGCTGCCTCCCCCCCCCCCCCCCGGGGCCCTGTCCTCCTCCAAAGGGGCTGGAGCTCTGGGGGCCCCCTTTCAGGCCCACACTCAGGGCTGGATTTTCCAAAGCCCTTCATCCTTGGCACACAGAGCTTCTTAGATGCTGAATGAAATTCACGCTGTGCCATTTTGAAAAACAACTCTCACCTCAGGAAGATTCCCAGACTGAGAGAAGCGCGGAGCCTGCTTTCTATGACGGTTGCAGCTGTAAGTGGCTTGCGACGGGTTAGTAAATGACAGCAGGCTGTGCTGAGCATGTTTCAGGATGGGCTGTTATAAAGGCCTGTTCGGGTGCTTACCGGGAGGCATTTGGACGCAGATCCTTACAACGCTGGAGGCACCCAACTCGTGGAGGCACAATTGCAATCGGGGACGGGGGTGGTTTTTGGCTTTCCTCTGAAGCATCGGGGATCACCTACAGCTGGAGCAGGGATAACAGGTAATGGGGCCTGCGCTCTGAGGTTTCTCTGTTGTAGCTGGCTGGAGAGTGGGTCTTGTTCAGGGTGCAGCTGATCACCTGATGTGGCAGCAGGCAGGAATCCCTCCCCCCCCCCCAGTGGCAGGGACCTTCTTTTGCCTTCCTCTGCAGCATGAGGCGGCTGTTGTGCTCATCAAGGTCCTACCTAATCAAGCTCCCCATAACGCCAGAGACCCTGGTTCTCTCCTGTTCTCTGCATGGGGCTCACAACCCCTTCAGCCAGGGGTGGGCAAACTTTCTGGCCCGAGGGCCACATCTGAGAATAGAAATTGTATGGCGGGACATGAATGCTCACAAAATTGGGGTTGGGGTGAGGGCTCTGGGGTGGGGCCAGAAATTAGGCGTTCAGGGTGCAGGAGGGGGTGAGGGCTCCGGCTAGGGGTGTGGGCTCTGGGGTGGGGCTGAGGAGTTTGGGGTGTAGGAGGGTGCTCTGGACTGGGACCGAGGGATTTGGAGGGCGGGAGGGGGTCAGGGCAGGGGGTTGGGGAGAGGCTCAGGGGTGCAGGCTCTGGGCGGTGCTTTTACCTCAAGCGACTCCCGGAAGCAGTGGCATGTCCCTTCTCTGGCTCCTATGCAGAGGCGCCACCCCTGCAGCTCCCACTGAAGTGCCGGAGGGGGGCCACTGGAGCACGTAGGAGCCAGAGGGGGGCCATGCCGTGGCTTCCGGGAGCGGCCCCTGACCCTGCTCCCCAGCTGGAGTGCCAGCGGGAGCTTGAGGGCTGGCGGGCTGGATCCGGCCCACGGGCTGTAGGTTGCCCACCCCTGCCTTAAACTCTTGAGGGTGGAAATGTTAAAGTCATTGGGCTCAACCTATGACTGTCTGGGTGAAGTTTAAAGTCCTGGGATATTCAGAAGATCAGACTAGATGATCTAATGATGCCATCTGCCCTTAAACCCTAGACACCACTCCCCTCCCTGAGCTGGGGATGAAACCCAGAAGAAGAATAGAATGGAATATCAGGGTTGGAAGGGACCTCAGGAGGTCATCTAGTCCAACCCCCTGCTCAAAGCGGGACCAATCCCCTGACAGATTTTTGCCCTGATCCCTAAATAGCCCCCTCAAGGATTGAACTCACAACCCTTGGTTTAGCAGGCCAGTGCTCAAGCCACTGAGCTATCCCTCCCCCCAGACCCCCTGCTTTAACCACTGTATCTCCTCCTATCCCACAGCCAGACAGAAAGCTTCCCCTCCCCACCCCCTGACAAAGCAATGCGCCTGCACCGTTTTTCCTAGCCAGGATGAAAGCAGCTTCCACAGTCCTAGGCCAGTGCCTCCATCCCAGCACCCCCCAGCTGCCTTTGCAAACCTTTCCTCTCCCCCTAACCCAAGGCCCTGAACTAGTTTGCAGCAGGTGGCGTGTGCAGTGGGGCACTAACTGCAAGCTGCAGGCATGGCCAGACCCTCGCAAACCAGCGCTACATCTTGTGCAATGGCCCTTAGCAGCTAACCCTCCTCTCTGCACCCCACGGGCAGACTTACCCCATGGTGGTGGAGGGCGTAACGTAGCCGGAAACTAAATCTCATCGACAGCAACCTTGTTTATAGACATGCGCAGAGGTTCCACAAGGACTCCTCGTTGTTTTTGCAGATACAGACTAACACGGCCCATCATATCAAGAAGTGGGCTGTAGTCCACGAAAGCTTATGCTCTAATAAATTTGATAGTCTCTAAGGTGCCACAAGTACTCCTGTTCTTCTTTTTGCGGATACAGACTAACACGGCTGTTACTCTGAAACCCATCATATCAAGCTACCACTAGAGGGAAGCAGACACCTACTTCAGTGCACTCGTCTAGGGCAGGGTCTGAAGACCCAAACTGAGATCAGAGTCCCCAGTACGCCCAGTTAATCTTGACTGAGAGCAGGGTAGGGCCCATGTTGTGCCAGGCGCTGCATGGACCCTGACTGAGACAGGGGCCCCACAGCCCCGCACAGAGACCAGGGCCAGGTCCCACTGGATTCTGCTCAGACCCTGACTGAGGTTGTGGCCCATGTCAGGTCACGTGCTGCACAAACCCTGATCCCGGCGAGCTGTGTGCTACACCCACACAGCGGACAGTCCCTGTCCCGAATTGCTCCCAGCCTAAGAACCACCGGGGGGAGGGGAGGGGACATAGAGGCTCCCGCGTTGGCAAAGCTGGGAATACTCACCCCTGTGCCTGCTTGTGATCTGTGCCCTGCGAGCGAACGCCTTCGTGCGGGGGGACTGGGTGCAACTGGTGGTGTCTCGCCTGCTGCAGCCCCTTTTGCAGCGCAGAGCCAGCCCGTTTATCTGCCCCCGTTGGCATCGCTGGCTCTGACGGGTTAACGATTCAGTGTGGGGTTTGGGGGCCCCAGGTTTGTACCTCGGCACAACAAACCTGCCCGGGACCAGGTTAACCCACAAGTCGAATTCCGGTGCGGGCGCCGCCGCCAACCGTCAGGCGAGGCGAGGCGTATCTCCGTGACGTCACAGCCAGCGCGGGCGGGGATTGGGCGGGACATCCCTCCCTCCAGCTTCCGGGGCTCGCCGCCCGCGCTGCTTCCAGCTGCACAGAGCCAGGCAGGCAGCGGGAGAGATTCGGGCGGGCGGCGAGCGACGGCGCCATGGAGGTGAGAGGGGGGGTTGAGAGGAGATCCCCTGGGGCTTTCCGGGGGTCTGGGCTCCCCTCCACCCAAGGGGTTCTCCAGGCTTCCCGCTCTGGGGCCCAGCACCCCCTCCCCACCAAGGAGACTCTGACCCCCGCGCTCCGAGGCCCCTCCCTACCAGTGCCCCGCACTCCCTCCAACCCAAGAACCCAATGTTCTCCCCCCTGCTCTGGTGCCCCGCACCCCTCTCACACTCGAGACCCTCTGCTCCGTCCCCACAGGGGACCCTCTGCCCCCTTGCTGTGAGGACCTGCACCCCTCCTCCTTGAGCCGGCTCCCCCTATGGCCCAGCACCCCCTCTTCCAAAGGGCCATCTGGGACCCCGCCACCCATCTAGAGGGCTCCCAACCTTGGGGGGCCATGCAGAACCCCAGGATCTCCCGATTCCTCCCCCACAAGGCCCTGGGATATCCCTGGCTTCCCCCCAGGGGGCTCCCCGCCTCCCCCCATCCACTATCTTCCTCCCACCCAAGGGTCTCCCAGTGCTGTTAAGATACCTAACTAGTGGGCCCTTACACTTCTACTTGGAGGCTCCTATCCCCCTACTTGTGTCCAGCGTTGCCCTCCTCCCCACCAGCCCAGGTTCCCTGGTGCTTGGCTTCCATCTATGCCCTCCTTGAAGCCCCTGCTCTCGCCCACTGGGGTGTTTACCCCAGTGTGTCTCCCCTCCCGCCCCGAAAAACCCTCTCTGTCTGGGGGTGCCTGTCTGGGGATGTCTCTGTTGGTGACAACCCCCATCATGGTCTGAACCCCCCCCCCCATGTTTGTGTGTCTGCAGATGGAAGGAGCAGATGGGGCTGCAGTCCCCCCCAGCTTGGCCGATCGCTCCCATCGAAGCAGCATCTCTTCCATGTGTGCCCGATGTAGGTGATATTTGGAAGGCAGGTGGTGTCTCTTAGAGGAGAGTGGGTTGTCTGGTGGTTTCGGGTCAGGGATTGGGAACTAGGACCCCTGGGTTCTTTTCCTAGCTCTGGGAGGGGAATGGGCTCCTGAGTGGGGGGAGGGGGGTAGAGAGGCAAGACTCTTGGGTTCTGTCTCAAACTCCAGAACTGGCTTTACTAGAGTGTCTCACACTTCGTAGCTTGTGTAGGATGAACTCATTACACACCCCGGGCTCCTTACGTCTCTCCATTTCCATATCACCCCTTCCCCCCAGCTCCCTGTATGCCATGCCCCCATCCTCCTCTACTTCAGGAACTCCCTGCAACCCCATTCCCTTTTTCCCCCCATGCCAGGGGCTGTATATGGCCCCCCCATTTCTCCCTTTCCAGTTTTTGTGACTTTTTTCACCAAGTTCTATAGGGGGCTGCCTAGAATATTACTGGAATTAGATAGAGTTGAGTATAAAGGTTGATGTAAGCCAACTCTTGGGCCTCCGTTGAGTCAGCTGTGTCATGGCTACAGCAGGTCAGGAGTTTTTCCACGCATTGTTTGTCACCCAAAGATTCAACTTTGCCAAAACCAAAACTGTTCATGAAACAGGGTCAGTTTTGACAAATCTCCGAGCTCAAAAACTTTTTGGGAAAATAAACAATTTTGTGGTTAACAGGGCTGTGTTGTCTTTTTTGAACCAGAGAGTTCTGGGGGTTTGAGTCAAAATGATGTGTTGTTTGGAAATTTTAGCAAATATAGATTTAAAAAGATCGAAATTGAAATACATCAAAACTGATCTGGACTGAAATTTTTTTCAACTCTTCGGTTTGTGAAAATGTTCATGTTTTTGACTTTTTATCTTAGTTTGGGAAGAAAAAATTTTGGGGGTATCAAAAACTTTCATGAAACAGGAAAACTGTGACCCTCTGCTCTCCTCTTAGCGCTGGATGTCCTGGTATATCTGATTGATGATACTGCGGTGCAGCTGAGTGTGGACAATCTGATGTCTGTCACTGTTCATGAGCTACATCGCATCGTCCGGGAAGCCCTGCAGCTTCCTGAGTGTGCCATGGAAGTCTTCGCTCTGTGGCTCATCTCTCCCTTGCTTGGTAAGGTGCTTGGTACATTGTCAGGATCTCTTATGCTACACCCTCTCCTATCACCCAGGGGGGCCTGTGCACAGCCTCCGCTACTGTTGCATTACCCAAGACTTTGCAAGTCTCATCACCCACTTTTACAGGGGAAACTTAGGCACAGAGAAGGGAAGGGATTGGTCTGAGGTCATGTGTAGAGTCATTGGTGGAGCTGGCAATGGAACCCAGGGGTCCTGACTCCCAGTCCCCTCCACTCTAACCATTAGGCCACTCCTCCCCTCCCAGAGCGGGGAATGGTACGCAGCAATCTGGTTCCCAGCTCTGAGCACTAAGCCACAGTCCCCCCTATTGCTAGGGATAGAACCCAGGAGTCCTGACTCCTGGTCCTGTGCTGAAATCATTAGCCTGCCCTGTCTTTCCACTGACAAAGTATTTATCTGCTTCTCACTTCGCATTGTGTATTCTGGATGTGGTAAATGGTTGCTGTTTGATTTCAGGTAGGTTGGAAATATGTCCCTTGGCTGTTGTGTGACTCAGCCATTGTTTGTTAAAATAAATAAGGAATGAGGAAACTTCCTGTATCCATCCACCTGTGTTCCTAAATAGAGGTTCTGAAATGCTTTCTGTTCTAAACAGCCTCAGCGCCTCACCCCGGAGGTGGCCGCATCTCTGTGTTGAGCGAGGGAACCCTGTATAAACATCACCCCAGAGGTGGCTGCATTTCAACTGTTGTCAAAGCAAATGCTCTGTTTGTAATAAAGTGCTTTTGGAATCTGGCTATTGTTTATACAGAGGTCCCTCAGTGGGTACTGCGGTACGGCTACTCCTAGAGTGAGCGTATGATGTTACACTGATTTACTGTGATGAACGCTAGTAACATTCCCTCTCTTGCACACTTCCTGGACAATCATTTGCTTTAAGTGCAACCAGGATCCCTGTGCAAAAGTCCTTCAACTGGCTCTGCCCTGTGGTGCCTGAGCCTCCAGCCGGAGGGGTGTTAGCAGGAAGTGTTGAATGGCAGGCAGTGGGTTAATCTGGGGCTGTTGATCCTGAGTCTTCCCAGCTGGGAGCATGTCGGGAGCAGAACGGAAACTTCCAAGGAACATCCAGGCAAAATGAATCATTTCATGGCACGGTTCCAGCTAGCTGGGCTGATGTCTTTGTCACCTGACTCGCATCTGTTCCCTTATCTCCCATCAGCTTCCCATCCCTAGCACATCACCGCTGTAACCTGTCAGATGTTCCTTGCTTACTCTCTCAGACCTCCCCCAATCTCCCCAGCCTGCTGGTTTTCATTGACCCTCTCCCAGTAATGTCTGACTGTCTTCAAAACTTAGCATCTCGGGCTTTTTAGCAGATGTAACCAGTATTGCTGGGTTTGATTCCCTCCAGTGTGAAGGGAGACTGGGAGTCAGGGCTCCCATCAGTTCTATCCCCAGCTCTGGGAGGGGCGTGGGGTCTAGTGGGTTAGAGCCCAGAGCCCGGAAGCCAGCGTTACTATGAGTACAAGGTGTTGCATCTGTCATTAGGGCTCAGTCTCTGTCCAGGTGCCTAGATGCTATGACTAAGACTACGTTTTAGTCACAGATATTTTTAGTAAAAGTCATGGACAGGTCATGAGCAGTAAACAAAAATTCATGGCCCGTGACTTGTACTATATACCCCTGACTAAAACTTGGGCCATGGGTGCTTGGGGCCGGAGGGGTGGGATGGGGAGTTGGGGGGGAGCGGGCCACGGGAGCTCAGGGGGTGGGGGGAAGGGGAGGGTGCTTGGGGCAGGAACTCCACTGGTGCTGCGGGGGGAGGGTTGGCAGGGCTGGCAGGTTCCTTACCTGGTTCCGTGCAGCTCCCCAGAAGCAGCCAGCATGTCCCTGCGGCTCCTATGGGGGGGAAAGCCAGGGGGTCTCTGCGCTGGCTCTGCAGCTCCCACTGGCCAGGAACCAAAGCCAATGGGAGCTGCAGGGGCAATGCCTGCAGGCAGGGGCAACGCACAGAGCCTCCTGGCCCCTCCGCCTAAGAGGTGCAGGGACCTGCCGGCCGCTTCCAGTCCTCCCCACCCCTCCCACAGCCTGACAGACACACAGCCTTAGCTATGCCAACAGGTGTGCTATAAAGAACTGCAGGAAGTGGAATATGCTTCAAATCAATGAGTTTTTGGGGTGTGGTTTTCCATCTGCCAGTCTCCATTGCCACCTGTGCTTCTGCTGCCCTCGGTTAGCAGCACCGCCTCCCCCTGTGGCATCCCAACCTGCTGTGTGAATGGCCTTTGCATCTCCTGCTTGGGACTCCGATGGTCAGGAGCACAGCTGTTACCCCTCCTCTGCACCCTCCCCCTGGTCTGTGGGGACAGAGGGAGCATTCACAAAGCGGGGGGGGGGAGGGGAGATGAGTTCTCCCATCCCACCCCACCTGCTGACTGTCCCTGGGCCCTGGCAGTGATGATTTTAGCAGGTGCTTATAAGTGGTCCAGGAGGGCTGGTCTTTTATTTCTATTACAGTAGTGCCTAGAGGACCCAGGTGACAACAGGGCCTCTTTATGGGGTGTGCAATATTGGTAGTATGACGGTAGTTCCTAGAGGTCTCAGCCAAGATTGGGGCCCCATTCTGGGGTGTGCATTATTCATAGTACTGTGATTCTGTCCTGACGGCTGGGAGGAGAGTGGGGTGCAGTGGGGGCTGGGAGCCAGGACTC